CATGTTTCCCGTTTCCTCCCGTTTTGCAGGGGGTAGTCTGGGTCGCTCTGACCGACTCTGGTATTTTAAACCTCTCCTCAGACAGACTTTAAGAGACTAATTTGACAGTAAGCTGGTTACAACCAATGAGCACTGTCCAATTATCAACAACCGATCATGGAAAATGAAATGAATGGGGTTTTACGTTCTACTTTTCTGCTCATGAAGAAGGGCAACGCCATGCTAGGTGCAATGAGGGAAACTTTGCCAGGACAGCAGCATTAGCCTACTCTTTTTCGATTTCCAACTGTAGAGGGATCATAAACGTGCACAGCCTGTAGCACATGGGGCCTTGGTTTATTGTCCCATCAGCAATTGTTCCAGAGCTTGCCAAACGTTGACTTATCAGACGATCTATGATGGGCTAATTAAAGATCATTATCACGGTCAAATACACAGACTTAGGGTTAAGGTAATAAATAATTAAATAATCTACAGACGTTAAAGGGATTCTTCCACCTTAACCATGACAACTATTCTTAATCCCAGCTTTAAAGGGGTGGGGGTGTTCATCACATTCAAAATTCTGTCTCCTCTTGTACACAGATTTATCAATTTTGGTTAATATGTCAAGTCAATTTTGATTTTTTTGTGGCAATATCAAAGAGAGAGTAATACTTGTTTGTTGAACTTCGTGAACTTTTTTGAATTGCAGACGAACTTACATGGCATTGGAAAAATTAGTGACAAGACTGTCGGCCTCCTGTATCAAAGGTAATGGGCTAACTAGCTCGACCACCCTTGAAAAATTCATGACATCAAGGACTATATATCGCCCGACTCGGAAAACCTTGTGATATCATTAACATTTAGCTGTCCCATGATTAATTGGGGAAAACCAATCGATAAGTATATCCCCTCTATGTCTTAGAGGACCCAAATTGGCCCTCCCTCCTGTATCAGGGGCCATACACGTCTTACTCGAGAACCCTTAAGAGATCACTACGTTAACTTTAATTCAGCTTTGTCAATTATAATGGGGATAGAACACCTTTATATCTGAGTAAAATTGGCCTTCCCTCCTGTATCAAGGGTCAAATGCGTCTGACTCGGGAACCTTTGAGAGATCGCGACGTTAACGCCATACCAGGTCTAACCATAATAAGTTGGGAAA